GTTCACTTAACCAGACACAAACCAACTCAATCGGTAGCTGTATAAGGCGGCTACAGGTAATTATATCTGCTTTCGCTGGCCGGGAAGCGTTCACATTACACTATGACTCGCGATCGCATTCTACACCACGAATTATGACCTGCACTAGAAGCCTAACTTAAGGGCAATCTAACAAGTAGAAGACTGGTCCTATCGGTAGCTGTATGAGATAGCTACAGCCGACTCTATTTCACTTCTCATTGTTTTCGTCGCGGACTGAGAAGTTCGTGCAACACGCAGCAGTCCATCACTGCCTTAGGTATGGCTGACTATTGCTGTACGTCAGCAACTGCGTTGTATATACAAGCAACAAAATCACAATCAGTATGAACTAGCAGATCTGGTACAAGCCTTTAAATGTGCAACAAAATTACAGATAAAATACAAGTTAGTCGCATCATCATCATCAATACATGTTATTCGACGTGGGGAAACACAACTCAGCTAATGTGCCACAATACAAGAAGATAAGACATTAAGCAATGTAGACTTAAAAGCTGTAAAAAAGCAACATAATGCTAACGCCATATGTGTGATCGTTGTTGGATGGGTAAGTCAAAGGGAACAGGAGGGACAAAGAGACTCACAACACAAACGCCATTGAAGTCGACTCATCGTCACGTCAGCTAGTGTAGTCAACCAAAAAGACGGTTGCTGTGACTTTAAATTACCAGCGATAAACTGGTCTAAAGGTACTACGCAACCGAAATACCAAAATCTCCTCTGTTGCATTCAAGAGGATAGTTGGCAATAACAAATAGTTTTGCCCCCGTGGCAACAACACGCTTCACCTGATTTTTACTTGTAGTATATAGTGCTGATGCGACTGTTCCCAATGACTTTACAAGAAGTTATCACCTGAAGGTGCGATGCAACTTCGAAATCCAGGCGATGGAAAGAGAATCCGCAACCTGCTTCCGTGCGTTCCGTTCTGTAGATTAAAATTCGTTTCGTCATAGCATTCGAAGGATAGCTTGGAACGGTTTTTTCATCAGCTAGTACACTGTAGGAGGCAGACCAGTTAGATAATCACACGATCCACTGCATCAAAGCTTTTGCACTATTGCGACATAAGTGCCTCCATAAGAAGCAACATGGTCTTCACTCACTGAAACTAAGGCGAAGGCTTCATAAAATTCGGTACACGTTTTGGCGCACGCCTGATTTTTATGATCGAAAGTAGAATTATGAATTAGAATGAGTGAGGTTTGGCAGAACAAAAAGACCCGAATGGCACAAACAAAACTGTCGGTTTAGCAAACCTCTTCCGTGCTCTTGAGTCTGATCAAACCACGTTTCTAGACTATGTAGTATTGCAGGACGGTAGCTATGTGTGAAGTACTCGATGCCTACATTATTGAGTCTTTAGTAGATCAGCTTGCAACCTTGTCAACGAGGTCTAGCCTGTCCAATAGCGCATGTTTATGTTGTGCGGAGACCACATATGGAAAAACTGGGGGATAGCTTTTGTGTTTGGATCCATCCCTTCACCAGGTATCCGATGGGGTTCCCCCAGCCTCAATTAAACAAGTAGGCATTGAATTCCATTTGCTGCTACTCAAATTAGTCCCGCTATCACTAAATAATGAGGTGTACCCTGTGAATTACAAATATACAAATTGCAAATTTTCGATTTTATCACTTTTCTTCTCGTTAGCATATGTATTTAGTTTAGTTTACCAATAAGTAGTGGATACTTTTATATAATTCAGAGGCCATGCGTCGCAGTCCTCTCAGTCAACAGGCTTTGACACGTCTGGGAAAGCCCCAGACAGCGCTTATTCGACCTTCTGGGTCTCATCAGTGGTGCGCCTACCTTGGACCCCTGCCGGGTTCCGACCCCATAACTTCCGGATGGCATGGGTGACGGCCGCGGACCGCATGACTGACAGCTTCTAAGTGCAGGGTCATACACAGTCGTTATGCGGAAAGTCCTAGCTCGTGGGGCCAACCACTGTGCCCTGCACAGTTGGTAAGTAGCATTGCAGTAGAGGATGAGCGGGGCTATATCGTAGGCAATTGTCAATCGTGCAGATCCGCGGCCGTTACCCAGAGCTTAGTGGAACAAGCTGCTGGCATCCTGAAGTCATGTGGTCGGAACCAGGCGAGGAAAGCGCACCACTGAAGAGACCCAGAAAGTCGAAACATCGCTATCTGCTGCTTTTTAGAAGTGCTATAGCCCAATGACTGATAGGGGACTGCGACGAATTACCTCTGATATTTTAGTTGGACTTGGTTATGCCCTTTGGGCACAACCACGCGGACTATAAAGCACGATCGTGACATATGTTCATTCGCATCACTGTGGCTAACGGAAGCGCCGTCCTAGTGGCTAATTATCACGCACTTCACCGTTGACGTGTTGGCTGATGTTGTCCGTCTCACGGCTAACCGGAAATACAGACTGATGGGATTGTTTCGGCGCACTATTGAAAATTACTGAGGCTTCGTCTACAAACCTAGTCCTTTATGCACATTTAAATTTGCTGGTATAGAGTCACGTTTACGATCTACGCTACATTGAGTTTTGCTCCTTTTGTCTAGGGAACCAGGCTATGCGTAAGGCTAGGCTTATGCATCTAGTGGCACATACATACCCGACGCAATGGAAAACGTCGGTTATTACTTGTCGACACAAAAGTAGGTTAACTCATAAAGTCCCCAACTGCAGACCATTATATTAAGAATAATGGAACGGATGGTCAAAAATGAAATGATTCGTCGCTTCTGCTCGGAAAATCCCATCAATAAGATACTGCATGTCTTTCTACAGGCCCAGTCAAGTGCGACATGCCAGCTAGACTTCCTTAACTACCCAACAATGGCTACTGATGGTTCGGATACGGTTTCATTGATCGGAATGGTACAGGCTGACTTTGGAGTCAGCCGAAGCCATAATTGAGATTGCTTGTCGCAATCCCAAACACACGGCGGGTATTCCGAAACCTGACAATCAATGGCCATTGATGTTGGAAAGTCAGTTGTAGTTATATTTCTAGATATGAGTAGAGCATTCGACCGGACTTCACGCCTTAGATTGCTCAAAAAGTTGCAAACCGTTGGTATCGGTGAACCACTACTCAATTGGCTTTCATCATACCTACCAGTTAGGGAAGCAAGTGGCACAAATGGACAACCGTGTTTCACTCCATAAAGCAGTTAGAAGTGGAGTAATATAAAGGAGTGTCCTTAGTCCTTTACTGTATTTTAATTTACGCGAAAGATGGCTTCAGCAGGACAAAGCATGGCACTGCTTTTTTGTTTGCAAGGTCGTGTATTCTCACAGAGGTAAAGACACAAGAGAGGTTTTACCACACGTCCATGTTGATCGTTCAGTAACTGAAACTTTGTGTGGCACTTACGACAAATGCCATTTACAGAAGACAAATGCAATATCCCATCGTATAAGTGTCACATTCTAACTAACAACCATATCCTGCATGGTTTGAATACCTCTCAATGCATATCGGTTCGCGATCTAGGCGTGCGATACTCGCATACGTTCTCAGAGCAGTGCAATTTCATATATTTGCCGTTCCTACTCACTCCGTGAGTCCCGGCTCCGATTGTGCAAAGCACACGTACTGTAAAACATTTTATATTGCTCACTGGTGTGGATGAACATATGAAAGTCTAACAAAATTTCTACTGAGCAAATTCAAGAACGATTTACCAAAAGAATAATTGCACATCCCGCAAAAATGACTTACAGTGAGCGCTGCACTGCCACCCATACGATTGCAAAAAATTGATATTGAACATTTATTTTCAATTCAGCATAATACATAACCGTGCTCACACCGTAGGAATAAACAGTTTATGTTGCAGAATAACAAATATCCCATGCACAATATGAGTTGTAAGGTTATAACTCTAAGAACAAAAACAAAAAGAGAAAATTTTTTCTCATTGCATACGACAAGCTTTGAAACAAAGTAGCCCAAAACATCAAAAAGTGCGGTAAATTACAATATTTTGAAATGTTTGTCAAGAAATAGCTCACTGTGAAAAACATCATATGCATGCTACAGACATCTCAGTGTTGGGAAACGGTATATGAAATTGGTGTCGAAAGCATGGGGGAGCAGCACGTTGTTAGAGCTAGTGAAAGCCAGTTGCTTCGATTTGCACAGGATGAAACAATTATACCGTCTAGCTTTTTCTTTCGGAACACTGTGACAGAACCCTGCGCGGGGATATGCTTATATGCATCGAGGGCACGGAAGCCTAAGGGATGAGTGACGAAAGCAGATCTATAAATATCTTAATAGGAATATGAGGAACCTCTCCCCAGCACCTCCCATCAGTCAACAAAATGAATGTGTGATATTGATAAGAGCCTACCACATAATTCAACGGTGATATAACGCACACAAATACCTGCACACATGTAGACTTCGCACGTTGGAGTGAATTCTATCCAATCCTGTGTTGGATGACACTATTTAGGAAATACAACTGTATATCCATTGTTCTGTCCCTATACGGGAGCAGTCACTCGCACCGAGGAGAAAAAATTATTCATTTACGTAAAACAATGGTTAGAATGCAAATAGTACGCCGCTGTCTTGTTCACTTAGATCGATTGAGGTTACTTGATCACAATGACGGTACCGATGTCAGAGTGACGGTTAGGTTGATTGCCCGCAAAATGCGAGCAGAACGTGATTGGGATACTCGGATCGCAATAGCTTCTGCTATGGTGATCATTCTTAAACCCAGACATTTCGATTTGTTCACGGGAATTAGGCATTCGGGAGGTTAACCCTGTGGGCGGATTTGAATAGGTGGGACAAAATTCCGCTTGTCAGAACCCCTAATTTCCGCTGCCTACACTGAGTGTTTAGTGTGGTGAATGGGCTTATCTTCGTTTTTACATTCTGTGGAAACGAAGGTGTTGACGCATTAGCGTAGTCCGGTTGCATGTATGAGAGAGAGAGTAAGGGAACGCGCTGACTCACGGATCAAAAACAAGCCTGGCGATATACTCTTTCGGCATCCGAGGAAGCTGCAGTGCGAACACATTGAGCAGTTCAAGTAGCCATATGTGTGTTTCCGGGGGTTGGTTGTTATTCAGACTGTTGTTAACAATGTGGAATTCGATGCTGCCAGTGGATTCCTCTTGGCGAGCTGCGGCGTCTCGGGTCGCGTTGAGTGAATGGAACTACAAAGGAATAGCGTCAAAGAATAGTAAACGCATTTTACGATAACAAGGTTGGTGGGCAAGGTATCTTACTGAAAAAGAGATAAGCACGAAGAACCAATTTACCCTTAGAGAGAGTATCACACCAGACGGCAGTGTCGTCGAAACACCTACTGTTGTAGAAGTAGGTGTGCTGAATCTTTCAGCAGCGAAAATGCGATTCCGGTACATTCAGTCGCAGCTACCATCCACGAAACTGTGCTGTGGACTTAAACATCAGTGTCCTTAAACTCATGATTGCTGCGACTATCGCATAAGATTGGTCCTGACAGCATCTCTTCAGCTGTAATCAAGTATGTTGGTAGTGATTCCCTAGTATTATCACTGACTATATTTTCCCTGCCCTTATAGTCAGTTCAGCATGCTGAGAAGCGGAAGCAATCTAGGTGTCATACCGCGATAGAAATTTGGGTCGAAGAAGAATATTCGCAACTGCTAGTCAAACCTCAGATCTCTCACGGATGAAAGAACTGTGAAGAAAAAAACAACTCCTTTCCTATTGCCGCACAGTTCTCTCCCACCTTCGTAGGATGGCTTCTGAAAGTCCCGTTTATGTATAACTTGTTAAAATGATTTCTTAGATAATCTGGCTAGAGCAATTGATTCTGGGCTACAGTTTGTTGTCATCTATCTTTACACGAGAAAAGGGTTCAGTCGAGTTCCACACAAAAGGCCGTTATTGAAAATGAGTGGTTTTATGATATCAAGTCCGTTAGTTTCCTGATTTGAAGCTACTCTGTTTGGACGCTTGCAGACACCCAACATAAATGGGCTCATGTCTAAGCCCCAGAGAGTTAATGCTGGCATAGTCCAATGCAGCGTCCTAGGTTTTCATTTTTTCTGTTTGTACATAAACAATTCGGCATCTGTCATATGCTTCGGTAACACAGAATTATTTGGCTATGATTTGAAAGTAGTGTATACGTCCCTTTCATCACCAATATATAACTGAGGTAGCATATATTAAATGCGATCTGCAAGCCATAGAGGGTTGCGCTGCGAAGTAACAGATGAATTTCCTTACAGCGAAATGCAATATAATGCCATATATAGGCAGCATTATTTGTACTTCAAGGTGAAACCATTCTAGTGTGCTCCTCTGTCAGATATTTAGGACGGTGATATTCCAGCTCCCAAAACTATATTGTACCTAAAGCAATGCAAGTAATGGGACACATTAGTCATTTCCTAACGTTGAAAGAAATAAGATTTATGGCAATTTTGGTTATGAACCTGATTTAAAAAACCAGACGCAGAATATGTGATTGTAGTGCATTCATGCAAGGTCATAGCTAGACAGAAGTTTCAACTCATAAGGTTCAGCCTGATGTGAAATAGACTGTCTAGTTGCAGATCATTTACAAATATCTAGCGAATTCAACAAAAGAAGGTTTTTTCCCGACACAAGAGAAAGTGAAACACATCCCAAGTTGTCAAATAAACGATGATAGATTGTCTGCGGAAAAACCGGATAATATATGAAACATAAAGAGGAGCATGGAAGTCATATATCAAAGGGCGAAAATGTTTCACAAAAAACTGGTATAATGATGAAACGAAAGCGAATCTAGTAGATAAGAAATTGAAATTATCAGGAAAACGCTCCTTTTGAGTGTTTCCGGACTGAAATTGAATAAATGTTAGATTGATGCGACCAGTCGACATTAAAAAGCAGTCCAGTATTTGTAATTAGTAAGCTCATTTTGCACCCTTTTTACATAGCATTTATGTACTGCTGCGCCCAATTTATAGTATGCTCAAATTATTAGTCCATCTATGAGTTTAATTGTCATTATCACTCTAAATCTACTTTCCGTTAGCCTTGCACACTCTTGTTCAAGCTCCCGCCGAGCGATCGGAATGGATATTTTCATTGCGATCTGGAATTAGTAATCGGCGAGAAAGCACCTATAACTGCAGAGATACTATAAAATGCAGTGGCTTATCTTTACAGATCTTTATTCCTTACAAAACTCTGGCCAGAGTTGAAAATTTATTCTCTCGAAATCACTGTATTGTCATTACTCGCCAAGATTTTCGATCACATTGTGACTGGCCTGCATACAAATGATTGTAAATAGTAATGTTTCTTATTCCTCATATATGTTGGCCAAAACTGGGCCGATCTCTTGAGACGACGGATTGAAACTTCCAAGCCAATACGTATACCATGCAAGGCGTATTGCCACAGACTCATTGGCGTGATTGATTATGAACACAGTGCACGTCATCCTCCTGACACGCAAGAAAGAACTGCCATGCTAAAAACGACGAATGCTGCAATGAGTTGCATGGCCTGGTCGTCCATAACGTAGGTAGAACAGCCTTGTTTGCTATTTTGCGACACCAGCACACAGCCAGAGGGGGCAAGGAAGTACGGGTGAAATCTTTTGAGAGAATACCCTGCATGGAAGCAGGTCCTCTGGAGACGGTTCCATGGATGGCCGCATTACTTTACTTGAACACTTGGTTAAATCTGCATTTGATATCGTTCCCGGTTTCTTAATTTTCCTAATACCTTCCACTAGCCAATCACTCTAAAAATTCATTTGGGACCCATTGTATAAAAGCTGAACAATTACCCGTTTTAGGTGCAAATTAGTCAGACTATTCAGTTGGATTGTGTCTCGTGCACCGTCGATGAATATATCGTTTATTTATTTAAACAGATGGCAACTAACAACAAAACCATGTTAACGGTATCACAAGAAGACTATGAGCATGGTTACAAATAAGGAAGAAAAGAAAATTGAGGAGGACGAACACGCGAGGCCGAGGCGACGATGGTCTGTGACAAAGGCTACAGAGTGAACCCAAGGGCGTGCGGATAGCACGACATGATGCCGACCGTGGTTATCAAGGCGAAGCAAATAAGGGGCATGTAAAAGAGACAGGTGGCCAAAACTGGGATCAGCAGGCGCAACTCGGCCCGGACAAACAACTACGAGTGGAGTATGGTAGAACGTTGCCTTGAATCGAGCCACCTTGACAACTGCAATCATGAGAAACGTGAAGGAAAAAGATAAACAGACATAAGTCAGAAATTTGTTAGAATCATCAACTGACTAACGACCGACAGAAGGCGACTGCGCTGAGTGGAAAAAATACATCAACCCACTGATATGTATGACCCCAAGGTATTTCAAGGCTGAATGTATCACTTTAAGGATAATTTTTCCCTGTGATAACATGCTGTCCTACCTCATCTGCAAAGATGAAATCCGAAGGAACACGGTGAGCTCCGTGGTCAGTTGGCAAGCACACAATGTAGAAGAATCAACAAAGGTGATTAGGATTTAACGAATAATTCAGTAAAGAGACAACTCTATACCAGACCCGAACAAGTAGGGAGAAACACAACTCATGTGGTTATAAGACAAACGACGGGCTAGGGTTAGCAGACAAGGATGATGAGACCAGTTGAGTCGGTAAAGAAATCCAAATGCGTTGAGTCGAGTGAGTATGGCTCGCGCCAATTTAGTAATAGCGATGATAAACATAACAAACGAAAACCGAGGAGCAGGAAGAGGAAAGAAATTAGTTCAGTCTAACAATTTTGATCCGAGCATCAAACTACGGTGGATACGGTTACCTCGACGTATGTCGCCATGATAATAACAGGACTCCTAATAACTTAAAACCTATATAAGTTAGTTAAACGGAATAGTGAATAGTCAGAAGTGAAGAAACGAACGCAATGGTATCATAGCTCCATGAACGCGTCATATCCGATACGGTGCACAGCCATTCATGTGGCCGGCCTGGGAGACTCCAACCGAAAAGATGACAAAAGTCAGTAATAGACAGTAGTAAGTATTTTCATGGTCTTTTGCCATGCTTTCAGCTGGTCACCTAGGGGCCTCATTCAACCAGGTGTAGGAGCAGAAACTGAGGAAGAAGGCTACTAGGCATGCAAAACTGATTATCTAGTAGGTGGATAAAAATCCGGTGAAGAAAAATCAGAAAAATGGCTTAGACACTTACTGTACTACTACGTCGGAGTAGGCAACCGGGTAGCATCTCGTCTAGTGACGAACCATGAACTTACAACCACAACAATTCAGCCGCCGTCTTACTGCTACGATGCCATTCGCTCATGCTACTATGCCAACTTCACAAACACACGCCATTTTACCTACCCTTACCTTGTACATTCACATGCATTTTACTTGATTCTTCTAAGGCGATCAACCTCACCTCCACTGATGAACTTGTTCCCGTGACATCTGTCAACTCAACCACACAGTGCTCAACAGAGAGTTGTCAGCCCAGAAGTCTCCCATCTTCGTTCCTGCAACCCGGAACGCAGTTCAAACTAGCAGCCTTCAACATAGGCACATTACTGTAGATCGGTCAGCAAGCTGGACTTGCACGCACGCTAGAGACCCTTGGGATTGATGTCTACTGCCTGAGTGAAACGCGACTCCAGAACTCTAACTCACCGCTCCACCCACGCACCCGCTTGCATCTCCGCCTCTGCGGTGACAACGAGTCTGCCGCATCTGGGTAGACTGGTGTTGGAATCGTCCTCAGTACTAGAGCCAAGGCTGATCTGATTGACTGGATTCCGATCAATAGTCGCCTTCGTGCGATGAGACCCATGGCTCTTGTAAAGTTAACAGACGTCGAGTCAAAAAGCGTGCTCTCTTCGTGATCTCTGTCTTCGCGCCCACTGACTGTAGCTCGGACACAGTCAAGGACTAGTTCTACCAGAAATCTCATGGGCTGCTCCTAAGGGCTCCAAAAACAGACATCCTTATTTCGGAAGGAGACTTTAACGCGCGTGTCGGTTGGCTGCTACCATGGCCAGGTCCGGGGACCGCATGGATATGATGATGTTCCCTCAGACAACGGAGAGAGACTGCTCAGTCTGTGTGCTGATCATCAGCTTTTCCTCTCCAGCACGAGCTTTCGTCATCCTGGACGCCAGTACTCCACTTGGCGCCCCCCATCATCAACCC